GCTAATGAGCATGCCCAAATGAGGTAATCAGAAGAAATTCCTCTGCACGTTGTTTCTCTTTCAGAAACACAGAGGACTGTTTGTATGATGGGATCACAGACACGCTGCAAACGGTTTCCGCTAAAAGTCGAGTCCAGTTTCTATGGAGTGTCATTTTTAATTTTTTAGAATTTGGGAAGATTGAAATTCACTAGGGAAAGCCAGCTAAATCGGTAGGCGGTAGAAACATGTCAAAAGCGGTAGACTACCGCCCAAATCGGTAGTGTTGGCAGGTATGTAACGTGCTATCACGTCAGATTCCCCAGAACGCCAGAAAAGTCTCCAATAACACCAGAAAAAGTAGCTGGATTTGTCGCTAGTTGCTTTTGACAAAAAAAAGTAGCTGGAGGGTTTGGAACGTCGCCCGATTTAGCGAGAAAGTCGCCAAGTTGGCAACACTGCGCCGTTGGGGAGAAAATCAGCGACGTTAACGGTGACGTCATCACGCAGCACCAGTCGGGCTCTGGGCGGTGTGAACAAAACGTGGGCTGAAAAGGAAAACCGGTTCCGAACCAGAAAAGCACAAGCACTGAGCGGGAACCGCGTTGGTGTGAAAAAGTGTTGGGACATACTTTCACGCCCTAATGAATAGGAATATGTTTTTAGAATCACACTGGACTGTGATCACATATTATGGTTGCTTTCAATGTGTTAAAGATGTGTCTACATAACAAAAGAGGTAGATCTCAGATTCACACTTATCATACTTCTCTTTCTATGCCACTCAGTAATAGGGTACTGCTGAAAGTAAGACATTCAGTGCATCACATCTGAGAATCTCTCGTCAGTCAAGACCCGGGAAGAGAAGTAAAGAGCCCCGAAGAGCAGCCTGTCTACATCTGATAGGAACAGGCCTGACGGAGATGCCATCATGTCAGGTGAATGCATTTTGAATAACTGAGGATTTTCTGAGGAATGGACATCACTATTCTTATGCAGCAGTTGGCTTGGAAGCAAAGAGTGGATACCTTTAATCTGTAAATGTGCTAAGTGTTTCTAAAAGGGAGTGAACTACCTGTTAAGACCAGCAGAGGGCATACCAACCACTAACAACCGACTCGTCTACCCCAACGCAATGGAGTTAGACTGATTGTGTTGTTTACAGCATTGTAATACATTCATATTTTATGAATATTCAACAGCTTTCATTGTTTAACTGAATACAGATGTAACGTAGCTCCTGAAATTGGTTGAGATGATGTTGTTACATGATTTTTAAATGTAATTGTTGAATGCAGCAGCCAACAAAAGCCGTTGTGTTAATCGCCACTACAGAGTACTGCAACCTGGCAGTGTCAATGTAAGCAATACAGTGTGTCTCAATGGGCAGGGATTACGTCTGAAATAAGTCTTCAATGCGGAATCTCTTTGTTTGCAGATTATTACGGAAATTCAACCGACCTATATGACTATGAAGACTATTACGATGGAACAGGGGAAGACTTCACTCCCTGCAACCATGCTGATTTGAGGAATTTCATCAAAGTGTTTCTGCCCACTCTCTACAGCTTTGTTTTCGTCCTAGGCTTCTTAGGTAAGGGAGTGTGTGTGTGTGTGTGTGTGTGTGTGTGTGTGTGTGTGTGTGTGTGTGTGTGTGTGTGTGTGTGTGGGTATTACTGTATATATATATATATTTATAAAACGGACAAGTCAAATCAAGCAATCTGATTGGTTCTTAGCCGTGATATACTGAGCGTATACCACGGGTAGAACTGTAAATTACTTTTCACAACAAGTCAGTATCCCTCCGCGTCTGAGAAAAACAGTATACCGTTGGGCTGAAAAGCAAACTGCCTGGGTTGTCGACCCTCCGCTTCGCGTCGGGCCGAACCACGCCCCTTAGCTGTGATATAATGAGCATATACCACGGCCTGTCGTGAGCTATTGCTTAAATATATATATATATATATATCATTAATATGTCACAATTTGAAATGTATGTTAATGTTGTTTGTATATCATATTATTGTGTGAGTATTTTGATGCTTTGGCAACATTGTTTCTTAACTTTCATGCCAATAAAGCCCCTTTGAGTTAGAGTTTGAAAGAGAAATGAAACAAGGCCGTTACTTTACATATGACGCATGGTAATCTTTCCCCTCCCTCTCTCAAGGCAATGGCCTCGTGGTGTGTGTCCTGGTGAAGCATCTCAACCAGAGCAACTTGACAGACATCTGCCTTTTCAACCTGGCTCTCTCCGACCTCCTCTTCGTCCTCACGCTGCCTTTCTACTCTCACTACGCCAGGGTCGGCCAATGGACTTTCGGAGACTTCATGTGCCGCCTCGCCTCCGGCTCCCACAGCACCGGTTCTCAGCAGCATCTTGTTCATGGTGGTCATGACCCTTGACAGCTACATGGTCATCATGCACGCTCACAAGGTGGCACGATATCGCACCCTGAGGTCAGCCGTCGGCCTGACCGTGTTCATCTGGACGCTGAGCTTCTGCATCTCTCT